ATGGATTACAAAAACAAGACCCATATACATGCTCTCTACAAGAGACTCACTTCAGCTCAAAAGACACTCAGACTGAAAATAAAGGAATCAGAAAAGATATTAGGATGGGAAAAGATTTTATGCAAATGTGAGTGAAGCTGGGGTAGCAATACTTGTATCAGACAAAAAAGACTTTAAAATAAGGACTGTAACAAGACACAAATCAGGGCATTTCATAATAAATGGTCAATCTAACAAGAGACTTAACTGTTGAAAACATTTACACTCCCAGTGTAAGAGCACCTAAATATATAAAATGAATATTGACAGAAATAAAGGAAGAGATCAATATTAATATAATAAGTAGGAATTCTAATACTCCATTGACATCAATGGATAGATGACCCAGACAGAAAACCAACAAGGAAACAGTGGTCTTAAATGATACATGAGACCAGGTGGATTTAACTGATATTTTTAGAATATTTAACCGAAAAGAAGCAGAATATACATTTTTTTCAAGTACACATAAAAATTTTCTAGAACCAACTATATGTTAGGCCACAAAATTATCCAGAGTAAATTTAAGAAGACTGATATCATGTTGGGCATCCTCTTCAATAGCATGGTATGAAACTAGAAAATCAAACTGAGAAAAAAGCTGAAAAGTATACAAACACATGGAGGCTAAATAACATGCTACTAGATAGCACATTATTTAAGATTGAGATCAAGGAATAAATCAAGAAAACTTGAGACAAAAATGAAAATAAAATGACTCAAAATCCATGGGACAAAGACAAAGCAGTTCTAAAATTCATAGCAATACAGCACTTCCTCAAAATAAAAAAACTCAAAGATTCCTACTTCATATCTAAAGGAATGAGGGAAATTAAGAAAAAAAAGAGCTTAAAGTGAGTAGAAGTAGAGAAATAGTAAAGATCACAATAGGAATAAACAAAATAGCCTTAAAAATTACAAAGATCAATGAAATCAAGAGCTGGTTCTTTAAAAAGATATCCAAAATTGATTAAACTTTAACCAGTGTCATCAAGGAAAAAAGATATGGACCAAATAAATATACTGAGAAATGAAAGAGAAGTGACAACTGACACCACAGGTACACAGAAACTATAATGAACATTTACACGCCAACAAGTTGGATAATCTGGAAGAACCAGAAAAATTCCTAGGACCATACAGTCATCCAAGACTGAATCACGAAGAAAAAGAAAATATGAACAGCCTGATAACTACTAATTAAATTGAATCAGTAATTTAAAAACACTCACAAACAAAAGTTCTAACTAGATGAAATCACAGGTGAATTTTACCAAACATTTAAAGATAAATATAGATGCAAAAATACATAACAAAATAATAATAAAAAATAATTCAACAATACATTTAAAAGATCATGCACCATCATCAATTGGGATTTATTCCTGAGATGCAAGTTTGTCTCAATATCTACAAATCAGTTAACATGATACAGCACATATATAAAATGTAGGATAAAATCACATGATTATCAACAACTGCAGAAAAAGCATTTGACAATATACGCGTATGATAAAAACTCAGCAAAGTAGGGACAGAACTTACCTCAACATAATAAAAGCCATATATGACAAACCTGTAGCTAACATCATAGTCAATGGTGAAACGTTAAAAGCCTTTTTAAAAATTAGGAACAAGAAAAGGATGTCCACTTTTACCATTTTTATTAAAGATAGTATTAGAAGTCTTAGCCACAGAAATAAGACAAGAAAAAGAAATAAAAGGCATCCAAATTGAAAAGAAAGAAGCAAAACTGTCATTATTTGCAGATTACATAATACTATATAGAAAGAACCCTGAAGACTCCACTAAAACCCTATTAGGCCTAACAAATGAATTAACTAAAGTATCAGGATACAAAATAGATATTCACAATTTGTTGCATTTGAATACACCAATACTAAACTATCAGAAAAAGAAATTAAGAAAACAATCCCATTTACAATTGCATTAAAAAGGATAAAATTGTAATAAATTTAACCAAGAAAATAAAAGGTCTGTACTCAAACACTATAAAGATAAAAATAAATGAAATGATATACTGTACTCATAGATATGAAGCATTAATACTCTAAAATGTCCATACTACCCAAAGCAATGTGCAGATTCAGTGCAATTCCTATCACAAACCAATGGAATTTTTCACAGAACTAAAACAAATAATCCTAAAATTTATATAAAACCAAAGAAGACCCATAATAGCCAAAGCAAGCTTCAGAAAGAACGAAGGTAGAGGTATCATGTTACCTGATGGCAAAATATACTTCAAGGCTATAGTGGTCAAAACTGCATGGTACTGGCATAAAAACAGATGCAGGTACACACATACACCAATGGAACAGGTTAGAGAGCCCAGATATAAGCCCATGCTTATTTGGTAAATTAATTTATGAAAAAGAAGGTGAGAATATACAATGGGGAAATGACAGTCTTTTCAATAAGTGGTATTGGGAAAACTGAACAGATACAAGCAAACTCATAGGAATGAATCTTTATGACCTAGATTTCAGCAATGATTTCTTAGATATGACACAAAAATCATTAAGAGAACTAGAGAGAGACACAGACAGAGAAAGGGGAGAGCAGAAAGGGAAAGTGGTAAAGAGAGAGAGATAAAGGGGTCTAGTATCAAGTACTCTTACAACTTAACAACCAGAGGTAAACAATCCAATTAAAATATGGTCAAAGGACTTAAATAGAAATTCCTCCAAAGAAGAAATACAAATGGCCAACAAGCACATGAAAAAATGCTCAAAATGATTAGTCATTAGAGAAATGCAAATCAGTATTACAATGATATACTACTTCATACCAACTAGGATGCTACAATAAATAAAAATCCTAACAAGGATGTAAAGAAATTGGAACCTTCATATGTTGCTAATGGGAATGTAGAATGCTATTTCCACTATGGAAAACAGTTTGGCAGTTTTTGGGAACTGCCCTGTCTGGTTTCCTCAAAATGTTACACTTATAATCAGCATGTTACCAAACAAATCTACCACTAAGTGTATATCCAAGAAAAAAGGAAAACAGATGTTAAAACAAAAACTTGTAAACAAGTATTCATAGCAACATTATTTGTAATAGCCAAAAAGTAAAACTAACCCAAAAGTCTATCAACTGAGAATTAAGTAAACAAAATGCAGCACATCAACACAACAGAATGATATTCAGCAATAAAAAGGAAGTACTGCTATACATGGATGAATCTCAAAAACCTATAATAAGTAAAAGAAGCCAGACATAAAAGGTCACCTATTGTAAAATTCCATTAAATGAGATGTCTGGAATAAGTATATCCATCAAGACAAAAAACAGATTAGTTTTGCCAGTGGCTGAATGGAAAGGAGAATAGGAAGTAGTTGCTTACTGGGTACAAAGTTTCTTCTGGGGTAATAAAAATATTCTCAAATTAAATAGTTGTTATGGTTGCATAATATGATACTAAAAACCACTGATTGGTGCATTTTTAAAATGTTTCAAATGGTGAGTTTTACTTCAAGAGAAAAGAAACAAAAAATTGCCAAAAGATGCATCAAAATAATAGTAAAAGTTCATTCCAGCGTGACTGAAGAGCAACTGGTTTGTCCTGTAATAGGACAATGGAGGGTTATCAAAGGAAAGTCTCTTCTAGGATTCTGAGCATAACAAAAATATTATAGACAAAATTATTGGAGCATTTGAGAGAAACAATTAATAGTTGCACAGAAAACCAAGGCAAACATCAGCTATATGAAAAGGAGATGTGTATCTCTTAGCTAAGCAACTGTATTTATGTAGTCACATAATACAAAGACTGATAATGCTTTAACTGAAACTTATGAAATAGCTATGTAGTGGGAAGGGGATACAAAAGGTGAAGTGTGGGGACTGATGAAGAAGATGTAAGTTCTCATTTTCCAAAATATATAATATCAAAAAATGAGAAATTTGAAAATAATTTAAATATTATTTAGAAATATGAAATTAAATACTAAGAAAAAAGCTAATACAGTATTTTCATAACTTTTAATCTACATGCATAAATTGACAAATATTTGGACTCTAAATTATTTATTTTTTCATTTTATTAAAAGTATCTGGTGTAGAAGAGACTACTGATCCTTCATCAGAGTTCTTCCCTTCAGCTTTAGTAACAGAATTAGCTGGCTGTGCAGCTCTGCTTTGTGCAGCGTGACTAAGCTCTGGCCAATGAAGAATTAAATGGAAGTGTCATATGTAACTTCTGTGTCATACTTTTAAGGAATACTTCCTTTCCTCTAACTTCCTTCCTGACGGCTACATAGGGTACATGATGGGTGGAGCAGAAGCATTCATCTTGGGCAATGACAGAGAAACCATATGTTAAAGAGAGCAAAGCAAGTAAGACAGTACAATTGACCTTTCCACAATATGGGGGTTAGAGCTGCCAACTCCCCACTCAGTCAAAAATCCATGTATAATTTTTGATTTCCCCAAAACTTAACTACTATAAGCCTACCATTGACCAGAACCCTTACCAATAACATAAACAATTAATACATATTTTGTATATGTATTATATATAGTATTCTTAAATATATAATCTAGAGAAAAGAAAATGGTGTTAAGAAAATCATAGGGAAGAAAATTATATTTATGGCATTTACCAAAAAAATTAACATATAAATGGACCTTCACAGTTCAAACCCATGTTTATCATGGGCCAGCTGTATACATAGGCCAATAGCAGCTTCACAGAGCTGAACAAGTACACCAATTTAAAATTTTACATGACACAGAAGATATATAAATGAGCTTCTACCTTTTCAAGCCATTGTTATTATGGTCTCAACTTTGGAGCAATCAAACCTATAGTCTTAATAAAATGAACAGAAATCGACCAAAAGAATACAATAAAATTTCTCATGTACCAAAGGTTTGCAACTAAGCAAATATTAAGTCCACATAAATGCTAACATTCTCTTATAAAAATTTACCCTTTTTAACTGGAGACTGATGTTGCTGTTGGTCATTCAGTCCTTGAGAAAAGGTTTGCATTCCATTCATCTTACTCTGTTGAAAAAATATTCAAAAATATTCTAAACAATCAAACTATTAGCCAAGGCAAATTTGGGGGATAAAGAATAAGTAATGTCATAAGTGTACTTGTTAAAATAAGCAACATTTATTTGGGGGATGCAAGGTTGGCACACTATTCCAAATAAATAAACTTGAAACAACCATATAAACAAAATGAAGAATAAAAATCACATGATAATATCAATAGATGCAGAAAAGTATTTGATAAAATCTAGCATCTATTTAGGATAAAAACTCTCAAAGAATCAATGAACCCAGCAGCTTGTTCTCTGAAAAGATAAACAAAATTGACAAACATTTAACCAGATTTATCAAGAAAAAAGAAAGAGGACCCCCAAAAATAAAATCAGAAATGAGAGGAAAAGTAACAATTGATACCACAGAAATACAAAGGATTGTAAGATTATTATGAAGAACTATACGCCAGGGAACTGAACAACCTAGGCAAAATGGACAAATTTCTGGAAACATACAATCTTACAAAACTGAATCAGGAAGATGCAGAAAACCTAAAGAAACTGATAACATGTAGCAAAATTGAAGTAGGGATCAAAAGACTCTCAGCACGTAAAAGCCCTGGACCAGATGGCTTCACAGGTGAATTTTACCAAACATTCAAAGAACTAACACCTACCCTTCTGAAACTATTCCAAATAATTCAAGAACAGGGAAGATTCCCAAACTCTTTTTTACAAGGCCACTACTCTTTTACAGTGGCCTTTTTACAAGGCCACTACTAATCCCAAAACCAGGTAAAGGCACAACAAAGAAAGAAAAATTACAGGTCAATATCTCTGATGTATATAGATGCTAAAATCCTGAACAAGTATTTGCAAATCAGATCCTGCAACAGATCAAAAACATTATACACCATGTCCAAGTGGGATTTATTCCAGGGATGCAAGGATGGTATGATATTTGCAAATTGATTAACATAATACTTCATAGAAACAAAAGGAAGGAGAAAAATCATATGATTGTATCAATAGATGCAGGAAAAGCTTTTGGTAAAATTCAGCACCCCTTCATAATAAAAATACTCAGCAAAGTGAGAATAGAGGGAGCATATGCCTCAACATAATGAAGGCCATAAACAAAATACCTACTGCCATCATCATGTTCAATGGGTAAAATCTAAAACCACTTCCCTTAATATCAGGAACAAGACAAGTGTGTCCAGTTTCACAACTTTTATTCAAAATTGTACTGGAGATCATCCAGTAGCCTAACTGGGGCACATTCACATGGTGGCAATGGCAGGTGTTCCAGGAGCAGCAAGAAGAAAATGTACTATCTAAAACCCCTTTGACGGCCGTGGGTGGCAGAGGAGCCAGCTATGGGAGCCGGGAAATTTCCAGCCCCGGTGCTGCTGCCATAGTAAGGGGCCTAGATGCTTGAGGAGGCAGCTACTAGAGCCAGGACATTCAGCAGTGGTAGGCAACAACACAGGGACCAGCGTGAGGACCAGCATGAGAGTAGGTGGAGACAAAGAACATAAAGAAACTTCAAGGAGCCCTGGCTAGTGTAGCTCGGTGGATTAAGCACAGGTCTGCGAACCAGAGGATCGCAGTTCAATTCCCAGTCAGGGCACATGCCTGGGTTGTATGCTGGTTCCCTGCAGTCCTGTTCCCAGCATGGGATGCATGAAAGGCAACCATACATTGATGTTTCTCTCCCTCTCTACTTCCCCTCTAAAAATAAATAAATAAAATCTTAAAAAAAAAGAACTTCAAGAAGTCTGCACAACTGAACTTCACAAGGATCATACCACAGAAGTTCACACCATAAAACCAGGGTTTCAGAAAAGATCAATTTTAGAAGCAGAGACTAACAAGAAGAGTCTCAAACAATGGGAAGACAAAGAAACAATCCCCAAATGAAAGAAAAAGCAGAAAATTCAGTAAGAATGTTAGATGAAATAGAGGCTGATCAACTATCAGATAGTGAATTCAAAGCACTGGTTATTATGAAGTTCAAAGAGTTCACAATGAACTACCAGAAACTACAAGGGAACTACAATGATCTCTCTGCAAACTACAGCAACATGAAAAAGGAAATGGAAACTATCAGCAAGGGACAAAAGGAAATGAAGAATACAATTTCCGAATTGAAGAACACAGTGGAAAGTTTCAAAAGTAGGATAGATGAAGCGGAGGATAGGATTAGTGAGTTGGAGGACAAGGCAGAAAGCATCTCACAGAAAGAGCAAGAAAATGAAAAGAGGCTCAGAAAGAATGAAGAGGGATTAAGAGAAATGCAAGACAATATGAAACATAATAATATCCGAATAATAGGAATACCAGAAGGAGAAGAAGAACAAGGGATAGAAAAAGTATTTGAACGAGTAATGAGAGAAAATGTCCCTAATTTGATGAGAGAAAAAGTCTCACAAATCCAGGAATCACAGAGAGTCCCAATCAAGAGGAACCCAAGGAGGCCTACTTCAAGACACATCACCATCAAAATGGCAAAATTCCAAGACAAAGAGAGAATCTTAAAGGCAGCAAGGGAGAAAAAAGAAATAACATACAAGGGAGCCCCAATAAGGTTAGCTACTGACTTCTCAATGGAAACACTCCAAGCAAGAAGAGAATGGCAAGAAATATTCCAAGTAATGAGAAACAGAGGCCTACAACCAAGGCTACTTTACCCAGCAAGGCTCTCAATCAAGATAGATGGCCAAATAAAGAGCTTCCAAGACGAAAGAAGCCCTAAAGAATATGCCTCCACCAAACCAGCTCTACAAGAAATACTGAAAGGACTGCTTTAAGGCAAGGAAGGATAAGAGGGAAACAGAGAGGAACACAGGTACAAAAATGGCAATGAATAGTACTTATCAATAATAACCTTAAATGTAAATGGATTAAATGCTCCAATCAAAAGACACAGAATAGCTGCATGGATTAGAAAGCATGACCCACACATATGCTGCCTACAAGAGACACACCTCAGGACAAAAGACCATCACAGACTAAAAGTGAAAGGCTGGAAACAAGTTTTCCAAGCAAACAGACAAGAAAAAAAAGCTAGGGTAGCAATTCTCATATCAGACAAAAAAAGACTTAAAAAAAAGGGCCATCAAGAGAGACCCAGAAGGTCACTTCATAATAACTCAAGGGAAGAATCCACCAAGAAGACATTAACATTGTAAACATATATGCACCAAACATAGGGGCACCCAAATATATCAAGAAAAACTTAGAGGACTTCAAGAAAGATATTGAGAGCAACACAATTATAGTAGTGGATTTTAACACCCCACTATCAAAAATGAACAGATCTTCCAAACAAATTATCAACAAAGATATTGTGGCATTAAACAACACCATAGATGAAATGGACTTAACTGATATATATAGAGCCCTTCATCCCTTCATCCCTTCAGCCCTTCAAAGAAGCTAAATACACATTCTTTTCAAATGCACATGGAACATTTTCAAAGATAGACCACATGATAGGACACAAAACGAGCCTCAAAAAATTCAAGAAAATTAAAATCATACCAAGCATCCTCTCTGACCACAAGGGATTGAAACTGGAAACGAACCCAAAGAAAAAAACCCAAAGCATCCAAAATCATGGAGACTGAATGGTATGCTATTAAACAACGAATGGGTCAAAAATGAAATTAGGGAAGAAATGAAAACGTTTCTGGAAACAAATGAAAATGATCTCACAACAACCCAAAACTTATGGGACATGGTGAAGGCAGTCCTGAGAGGGAAGTTTGTAGCAATACAGGCCTACCTAAAGAAGATAGAAACATTTCAAACAAACAACCTAATCCCATGCCTGCAAGAACTCGAGGAACAACAACAAAGACAGCCCAGAGCAAGCAGAAGGAAGGGAATGACCAAGATTAGAGCAGAATTAAATGACATAGAGACTAAAAGCACAATTTTAAGGATCAATGAATCCAGGAGTTGGTTCTTTGAGAAGAGAAACGAAATTGACAAGCCTTTAAGTAGGCTCATTAGAAAAGAAGACAGAGGACACAAATAAACACAATCAGAAATGAAAGAGGAGAGATTACAACTGATACCACAGAAATAGAAGGGATTGTAAGGAATTATTCTGAAGAACTGTATGCCAAGAAATTTGAGAACCTAGGGGAAATGGACACATTTCTAGAAAAATACAATCTTCCAAAACTCAGTGAAAAAGAAGCAGAAAATCTAAATACACCAATATCAGCAAAAGAAATTGAAGCAGTAATCAAAAAACTCCCATCACACAAAAGCCCTGGACCAGATGGTTTCACAGGAGAATCCTACAAAGCATTTAAGGGAGAGCTAACCCCTATTCTCCACAGACTATTCCAAAAAATCCAGAAGGATGGAAAACTCCCAAATTCTTTTTATGAAGCCAGCATCATCTTAATTCCAAAACCAGATAGAGACACAACAAAGAAACAAAACTTCAGGCCAATATTGCTGATGAAGATAGATGCTAAAATCCTCAAAAAATATTGGCAAATTGCATCCAACAATATATCAAAAAGATCATGCACCATGACCAAGTGGGATTCATCCCAGGGATGCAAGGATGGTTCAATATTCGCAAATCAGTAAATGTAATACATCACATAAACAAAAGCAAAGACAAAAATCATATGATCATGTCAATAGATGTGGAAAAAGCTTTCGATAAGGTACAACACCCATTTATGATAAAAAACACTCAGCAAAGTGGAAATACAGGGAGCATTTCTCAAAATAATAAAGGCCATATATGATAGACCTACAGCCAATATCATACTCAATGGGAAAAAACTAAAAGCTTTTCCACTAAGATCAGGAACAAGACAAGGATGTCCACTTTCACCACTTCTATTCAATATAGTATTGGAAGTTTTAGCCACAGCAATCAGGCAAGAAAAGGAAATAAAAGGCATCCAAATAGGAAAGGAGGAAGCAAAACTGTCACTGTTTGCAGATGACATGATAGTGTACATCGAAAATCCTATAGACTCTACCCAAACACTGCTCGAACTAACTAATGAATTTGGCAAAACAGCTGGTTACAAAGTCAACATCTAGAAATCAAAGGCATTTTTGTATACTAACAATGAATCAGCAGAAGCAGAAATCAAGGAAAAAATCCCATTCGATATAGGAAAAAGAAAAATAAAATATCTGAGAATAAACCTAACTAAGGAGGTAAAAAAACTGTATGCAGAAAACTACACAGCCCTGAAGAAAGAAATCGAGGAAGACACAAACAAATGGAAACATATACCTTGTTCATGGACTGGAAGAATTAACATCATCAAAATGTCCATACTACCCAAAGCAATATACAGATTCAATGCAATACCTATTAAAGTACCAATGGCATATTTTACAAACATAGAACAAACACTTCAAAAATTTATGTGGAACCATAAATGACCGAGAATAGCAGCTGCACTTTTGAGAAAGAATAACAAAGTAGGAGGGATCACAATACCTGATATCAAACTGTATTACAAGGTCACTAAATCAAAACAACCTGGTATTGGCATAAAAACAGGCACATAGACCAATGGAACAGAACAGAGAGCCCAGAAATCAACTCAACTCTCTACAGTCAATTAATATTTGACAAAGGGGGCAGTAACATAAAATGGAGTAAAGATAGCCTCTTCAACAAATGGTGTTGGGAGAACTGGACAGCTATGTGCAAAAAAAATGAAACTTGAGCACAGACTTACACCATACACCAAAATAAATTCAAGGTGGATAAAAGACTTAAATGTAAGCCGTGACACCATTAAAGTCCTAAAGGAGAACATCGGCAAGAAAATCTCAGATATTTCATACAGCAACGTTTTTACTAATATGTCCCCTAGAACAAGGAATATAAAGGAAAGAATAAACAAATGGGATCTCATCAAAATAAAAAGCTTCTCCGTGGCTAAAGAAAACAGTATTAAATTAGCAAGACAACCAACTGTATGGGAAAACATATTTGCCAATGATACCTCAAAGGTTTAATCTCCAAAATATACAAAGAACTTACACGACTCCACTCTAAGAAGACATCTAACCCAATTAAAAAATGGGCAAAGAACTTGAACAGACACTTCTCCAAGGAGGACATACAGAACATTCAGAGACACATGAAGAGATGCTTAATATCATTAGCTATCAGAGAGATGCAAATTAAAACCACAATGAGATACCACTTTACACCAGTCAGGATGGCTATCATAAACAAAGCAACAAACAACAAATGTTGGAGAGGGTGTGGGGAAAAGGGGCCCTTAGTTCACTGTTGGTGGGACTGTAGACTGGTACAACCATTATGGAAAACAGTATGGAATTTTCTCAGAAAAATAAAAATCGACCTGCCTTTTGACCCAGCAATTCCACTGCTAGGATTATATCCCAAGAATCCTAAAACATTAATATCAAAGAACCTATGCAGCACAATGTTCATAGCAGCACAATTTACAATAGCCAAGAGCTGGAAGCAACCTAGGTGCCCATCAGTAAATGAATGGATCAAAAAATTGTGGTACATATACACAATGGAATTCTATGCAGCAGAGAGAAAGAAGCAGCTACTACCTTTTGCAACAACATGGATGGAACTGGAAAGCATTATGCTGAGTGAAATAGGCCAGGTGTTGAAAGACAAATACCATATGATCTCACCTTTAACAGGAAGCTAAACAGCAAAAGAAACAGAGCAGAAAACAAACAGCAAAAGCAAACAGCAGAAAAAAAATTGTATTGGAAGTTCTAGCCACAGTGATCAGACAAGAAGAAATAAAAAGCATTCACATTGGAAAGGAGGAAGTAGAACTTTTATTATTGTCAGAAGATTATGATATTGTACAGAGAAAACTCTATAGTCTCCACCAAAAAGCTCCTCAACCTAATAAGTAAATTTGGCAAAATAGCATATACAAAGTCAATATACAGAAATCAATGACATTTTTGTTCTTTCTGATTACATTTTTGTGCTTTCTGAAAGTTCATTTTGAACTTTCTGATAGTTCAACAATGAACTATCAGAAAGAGAAGCTAGGGTGGATATCCCATTTACTCCAGAAAGAAAAATGTAAATAAATATATTACCTAGGAATAAATGTAACCAAGGAGGTAAAAGACCTGTACTTGGAAAACTAAAGAACACTGAGGAAATAAATTGAGGCACATACAAATAAGTGGAAACATATACTATATTCATGTATTGGAAGAATTAACATCATTAAAATGTTCATACTACCCAAAGAAATCTGTAGATTCAACAGAATTCCTATTAAAAGAACAATGGCATATTTCACAGACCTAGACCAAATAGTCCAAAAATTTATATGGAACCAAAGAAGACTCCAAATAACCTCAGCAATCTTAAGAAAGAAGAACAATGGTGGAGGAATTACAATACCTGATATGAAACTTTATTGCAAGGCCACTATAATCAAAACAGTATGGTACTGGCACAAGAACAGACACATAAATCAATGGAACAGAATACAGAGCCCAGAAGTAAACTCATGTTTTGTGGTCAATTAATATTTGACAAAGGGGCATGGGCATAGAATGGAGTAAAGATAGTCTCTTCAATAAATGGTGCTTGGAGAACTGGACTTGTAAATGCAAAAAAATTAACTACAGCACCAACTTACACCATACCCCAGAATAAACTCAAAATGGATAAAAGACTTAAATATAAGTTGTGATAAAAATAAAAGTCTTGGTGGTAAAATATAGGCAGTAAATTTTCAGATATCTCACATAGCAATATTTTTGCTGATACATCTCCCAGGGCAAGGGGAATAAAGGAAAAAATAAACAAATGGAACTACCTCAAATTAAAAAGCTTCTGTGTGGGTAAAGAAACCATCACCAAAATAAAAATGAAACCAGCCTTATGATAGAACATATTTGCCAATCATACATTGGACAAGGGTTTGATTTCCAAAATATATAAAGAACTCATATGACTAGACACCAGGGAAGACAAACAATTCAATTTAAAAATGGGCAAAGGAACCGAAGAGACACTTTTCCAAGGAAAACTTACAGAGATGGTCCATAGGCATAGTTCAACATTACTAGCCATCAGAGAGAGACAAATTGTAACCAGAAAAAGATATCACCTCACACTTATCAAAATGACTTTCATTAATAAGTCAACAAACAAGTGCTGGCAAGGATGAGGAGAAAATAGAATCTTAGTACATTGTTGGTGGGAATGCAGACTAGTTCAGCCACTGTGAAAAACAGTATGAAATTTCCTTAAAATATTAAAAATGGAGTTGCCCTTTGACCCACCAATTCCACTGCTGGGAATATACCCTAACAATCCCACAACACCAATTCCAAAGAATTTATATACCCCAGTGTTTATAGCAGAGCCATTTAAATAGCTAAGATTTTGAAACAGCCTAAGTGTCTATTATTAAATGAGTGGATTGAAAAACTGGTACATTTACACAACAGAATATTATGCAGCAGAAAGAAGGAACTCCTACCCTTCACAACAGCATGGATGGAATTGGAGACTGTCGTGCTAAGTGAAATAAGCCAATTGGTGAAATACAAATACCATATGATCTCACTTATAAATGGAATCTAATCAACAAAATAAACTAGTGAGAAAAATAAAACCAAAGTCACAGAATTATGGAATAGACTGATAGCTATAAGAGGGAAGGGAAGAGGTAGGGCCTGACAGAAAGAAGCTGAATGGATTAGTCAAAAACATAAAAAAGGACTCATGGACATGGACAAGGGTGTGGAGATTGACTATGAGAGTGGGGAATGAGCTGAAGGAGGATGAAGTACAGGAAATTGGGACAACTATAATAGCATACACAAAAATAAATAAATGAAAATTTCTAAAACAAATATAGCAAAATATTTAGATTTGAAATTGCTGGGTAACAGGTATAATGAGTATTTTATTCTCTTTAATATATGCTTGAAATATATCATAAAATTTAAAAATATTTAAGCACTTAGCATAGTAGCTGGCACACAACAGCCATTTGATAAATGTTACTTTCCAGTCAGGCACAGTTCATGTTATAATGTCTAAGACTTACTCTACTAACTCCACTTTGTAAGTACTGAGCATTGCATGGATATTCATTTTAAAAGTTGAAAGGGAATACTGTTCCTGTTAGGAATGAAGAAAAGAAAACTATTTTAAATATCCATGTCTTCAATAGAAGATAAAATGGCACCTAAAAATCTTAATTATTCAGGATAGTCTAAATACTATTTTAAAATGTTTTCTGATCATTCACTTATTCAACACATTGTGTTAATTATAAACATGAAAATCAGAGATAAAAACCTTTGCAGTCTATTTTAAGCACATGCTCATAAATAATGATTATAAAATAAGTTATAGGAGATGTTCAGAGAAAATGCTGGGGGAGAGCTGAGTGGTTTGAGGTGTCAAGGAAGTCATCACAAAAATAAATAATTCAATCTGGGTTTTAAAAAATATTTCTTTAGGGACGTAAGATAGACAAGAAGTATAGAAGTATGTTGAGAAAGCAAAAATTAATTCCTGATTTACTAAACTTTGCCTAGTAAAACCCTACTCTCGTCTGGATCTTCAAAAGATATAATGATTCAATGAGAAGTTAGGGCTACTAGTGCACCCCCATTTACCTCTACAGCAGCCTTGGACTGAAAGGAGCAGTGAAAAACTAAATCTGTAGAGATGAGGGGGTGGGCAGTGTAAAAAAGTAAGTCACAGAAAGGAGCTGCTGACAATGGCTTTATATCCTTCCCTTTAGGATAAAATCTAAGACTTAACCCTATACAACTGTTTCTTCAGCACACTAGAAGGTTATAGCATCAGCACTGCTAAGCTATGATTCAGAAAACCCATTAATTTAATTTATCTGTCCTAAGTCACAGCCACCTTCAAAGGAAACATGCATGAGCAAAGTGGCCTACCTTATAAGAACCAAGGATGGTGAAAAAATGGAGTGAGGGATTGGCGCCTTTTCTATCTTTTCCACTTCACCTTTGAACACAATAAAAAGTTATTTTCGCTTTTTTTCCTAAATTAGAATACAGAAGCCATTCTGGCAACAAAAAATAAAAATAATAAAATGGTTAATATTCCAATTTAGTAATTAAATATCAAGTGTTTCAAGAGTTTTTTCAGAAGAGTAGTTTTTTAGTGGGCTGGGCAGAGGAGAGCAAAGAGGGAACAATTGGGACAACTGTAATAGAATAAAAATTTTAAAGTTTCCCATAACAAAACAAAAATTTTAATTTTTAATATTTCATTTGTTTAGATTTCCTGAATAATTAGAGTATATGTTCCAACTCAAGCACAGCCCTAATCTGTAAGTTGTTTTGCACTAATCTTTTTTCTCTTTGGAGTTAAGTATATTTTTTAAAGGCTTGTTCTCTCTCCAGCATGAGTGCTCTGCAGTCATAATAAAAGGGCACAGTTTGCATTGAGAGTATCATTCTGCACAGAAGCCAGTTAACCATAAACATTAGACATAGAAAATACACAAAGATGTTCTCATGTCAGAGCTATTATCCTACCTTACTTGATCTAGTAGACTAGTAAGAGTTCTTTTCTTTATAATACTTTAAAAATTTTTTGAGATCAATAGTTTTCATTATTTCTTTAGTATGTACCATAAACAATTACTTTATATATTATATTTAGCCTTTCTGATGCTAACTGGCCATTAACCCGTTAATATTTTAAGACATGTGCCCTAGATTACTCACCAGAGGCAGAAGTCAGATGATGAACAGGTCTTGCTGATCGAAGTGATTTACCAATCAATTTTTTGGTTTCTATTATCATGAAGACCTTGAGGTTCCATACTTTGGAGAAAAATTTTCATCTTCTGGACACATTTTTATCTTCTGGATACGATAACCAAGGTGCTTTAACATATATACAAATAACCACAACATTTATTTCAAGATACCTCTTTTATAAGTTAAGGTGGAAAACAAAAAAGAAGCATTTAAAACAATATTCAACAACTTTAGAGCTTCTGCCACAACTGAATATTCCCTTTTCAAAACATTTTCCTTCCTTAACTTCCCTCTTTTCTTTTGGTTTATTTCCTATTTCTTTAATTGCCTATCTTAATTTCCTCAGCTGACTCCTCTTTTTATCCCAATTAAACTTAGGAATTCTTCCAAATTTGGCTTTGGTTCTGCTAACCTTACCTATTCTCATTATTGCAACTATCTATACCTCCATGGTAAATAATATCCAACATAAACCTCTCTTTTAAATTCATTTATTTCTCTAATTGCACAAAGATATTTTCATTTATATCTTATCATAGGCACCTCAAATTCAACATATTCAAAATCAAAACCATCCAAAGCTGTCTCTCCTCCCATATTCCTTAAAGTCATCATGAACTCTCTCAGACTACCCTTGATTAGAAACACTCTCAACTGGACATCCTGAGTTAGAGACTCCACACCACAATCAGTCTCTAATTCCTGTCCATTGCATTTCTAAAATATCTCTCAAATTTATTTTCTTCACTTCCACCACTCCTCTTTCAGTTCCACAGTAGTTCTCAATTCTTCTCTTTAATCACCCAATCTGATTTAAATATTTCCTCTCCCTATGTTCCTGGGACACAGTGAATATGGCTACATCAGGGTATTCAGAAAGGATGTGCCAAACTATAAGGTACAATTTATTTGTATTTCATATTAGGCAAAAGTGAGAGACAGAATCTTCTTAAACTGAACAAATGGATAAATACAGCCTGTTTCTCTCCAAACTATGATCCCTTTACACACATACCTGTTTAAACTTCAGTTCCCAATCACCTCCTGCATTATTAATAATAGAAGCAGAAGCCAACATCCCCATCTCATGCCCAGCAAACCATTTACCTAAGTTACATTATTTAGTATTCAGAACAACTCTATAAATTAACCACTATTAGTAGTTAGAGTTTAGGTCTCAGGTCAGCCTACTTAGTTTCATATCATGGCTCTACCACCTATTAGAACAATGGAAAACAATAGCTTCCACCTCCTAGGTTTGATGTGAAGATTAAATCAGAAAATCTGTATAAAGCATTAGCACAATGCTGGGTACATGGTAAGACTTCAATAAACGTTAGCTTTATTTTTTATCCTAATTTTATATAAGGCTTAGGAAGTTAGGTAACTTGCCCAAGGTCATGACTCTACAAAATTATGGCTATGTCCATGCCTTTAGCCAGCATTCTACAACCAAGCTAGCTCCAACCTTTCTTTCCAACCTAGAACCAGGCAGAACTATTTAAGTTCTGGTGAAGTACCCTTGTGTGCTCACAAAGCACCCCTGTGTCTTTTTCCAATGTAGTACTTACTGCGATAGCTGCAATTACCTATGATCCTGTAACAGGGTGCAGCCAAGAGGGGGGCCCCAAAGAGGGATTTAGAATGGGTCCCAGAACTCAGTGTGTCCAGGAAATATTAGGATGTCCTCGCCCCTTCCCGCCAGGTGTGAGTTGGGGGAAGGGACACATGAAGCAGGAACATGCAGAGCTGTTTTGTACAGCAAGGGCTTTGTAGCTAATCTCTGGGATGGTTATTTAACATATCTACAACCTTTAACTGGCTGCATAGATATGTTAAATAGCTGTGGTCAAGCTCTGAGTCAGGGGGATGGAAAGGGACTTCCCCCTCAAATGTAACTGGGGGCAACTCTCTCTGGTTACAGCACCCATGTGAGAGTTTGGAGATGATTGCCTCCACACCATGGGGGCACACCTGCCCAGACTCACAATGGCAGCCCAGTAAAGCTGGAAGGATACGGGAGTGCTGGCAAGTGTGGCCGATTGTGGGAGGAGTCAGAAATGGGGCTGCAGAGGACTGGCACAAGGATTTAAACCCAGACTTGACAGCCATTGAGGAGAGGACCACACAGCTGCAGCTTTTCAGGGAGAGCCACGTACTTTTGTCCAGAGTGGGGACTCCCACAGCCCTGTAAAAGAGAATCACCATGTGGCTTTAGTAGAGAACGTCCACTCAGCTTTGGCAGAGTGGCGGACCACCCTTGTCCCCACAGCTTTGGTGGAGAGAAGAGGACCATGCAGTTTTGGCCAGAGTGGAGAATCCCTGCAGCTTTGGTAGAAGAGGGCCACAGGCTTTGAGGTGCTCCCTTTGGCCACGTGGCCTGGGAAGCAGGAGAGACTTGGCCTGGAAGAAAGGTGAAAGAACTCTTGCCAGTAGGCCATGAAAAGGTGCCACATGGCTTTGTAATAATTAGAGATCCTGCGCCTGGATGGCAACACAGCTTATGATGCCAGGAGCCTGAATCATGGATGTTTGCTTCTTTTCCTGAGTTACAGTAACCCAAATTAGGGCAGGGGGAGAAGGAAGCACTGTGGGTATCTATGGGTATCCTAAAGGACTTTGATATTTTAATGAAGACATTAGGTCACTACTCTAAACCTGTATAACATTAAATAAACATTTCCTTTCCTTTTTACAAATCTCTGGCATTGAGAGATGTCTTTCCTATGGCGATGGACAATCGAACCTAGTGGGGGTCCTTTTGGTGATAGTATATTGTCCACCCCTTGGCCCTGTGTGGACCTGTGTGGGGGCAACTTTCCTTGCAAGTCCCCCCGTGTGCCACAAATGAGAGTAAACATGACAGAGACATGATGTAATCTGCTTGGGGAGGAGAGGTGGCCATTTTCCCAGAAGAAAAAGGCCAGTGGCCAGTTTCTCAAGGGAAAAAGGCATTGAGCCCCTTCCTCCAAAGGCTTTTATTGGGTTGTAATACACAGGAATACAGGGTGGCAAGGATCAAATAGTAGATACCTTTTCAAAGAAATCTAAAGGCTTAATATGAGTCAGTGTCTGTCAGGAACAGAGTTTTAGGATTTCCTGCTCGGACGCTTAACATAAGAATGAAAGCACTCTTAGCAGAGCAGATTTCACAGGTTTATTGTAATAGCCATTAGTAGTAGAAACATACAAACAGCCGTTAGGCATCTGCAGTTCCTGAGACTGGGTAATAAATAAATGTCAGGGAACGGCTGGGTTAAAATTCCTAGCCAAATAAGGTAACTGACCAAGGCCCGCCAGATAAGACCCCCAGCTCCCAACCACCAATTAGAGACTTTCGCCGTTTTTTTAACTTAGCAACCTGGCTAATGGCTAACTGCCACATCTGCTTCTGTAACCCCGCATTCGCTTGCTCTGCCCTATAAGAACCCCGTAGTCTGTGAGCCAGGCACGACTCTCATCTGCAGCCCTTTTGGGCACCGTGTCTCTGGACACCCCCGAGAGTTCGCCCCTGCGCAGGTAAAGCTTGGCCACCAAATTTATAATTAGACTATTATTTTGTAATCAATAAAATTAGAGATCTTTGAAACCTATCTTCATCTCCGAGAGCGTGCATTGACTCATCTGTTGCCTACAACATTTATCAGGAAGTCTTTGTGATGTTAGATTTTTCTCCCAGGACATGCTTTAGCAAGGCAAGGAGCTGCACCCCTCCCCATCAGGTATTCAAGCTTAAGGGGATTAGAGACAAGAAGCACTTCTCCCAGAGGACATGGGGATCTCAAAGCGGGAGGGTGGGGGGTGGGGGAGATGAGAGTCCATTGCTTTGTTGCAGCCCCCCAAGTCCTTCCATAATGGTCTCCCAAGTGGTCCTGTCTGGCCTGGGTTGCCCCTCCTCTGAGGGGTCTTACTCACCATTGACTTCCGACCAAGCTTTGGGGGCAGGGAAAAAACTGAGGCAGCATTTGCTACCAGAGACAAGCTTTGTCTCCTGCAGCTCACATTCCAGAAGTCGCTGGCCCTTAGCCACAGGGGGTAGAGTTACAATTCCTAGAACCAGGCAGAGTGGTTCACAACAGACCTGTGTTCTGTAACAGTTTTTGGTGTCCCTGGGTGGGCCATTAATTGGCCCCCCCATCTGTTCTGTAACAGTCTGACTATGTAATTATAGCCCTTTTACTCAGGTATATTTCCAGTGTCCACCACAGTGCATGTTCAATAATATGTTGAATATATAAATGTTGTTTTGTTTCATCACATATCTGTACATTCAGGTGCTCTGTCTGAAGTTGCCTCACTCATTCTGCTGCTCCTCTTCTAAATTGCTATTCATCCTTTAAGACAAAACTTAAGTTCTTGCTACATCCTTGGAAAATGAAAATATCCTCATGTCTCAATAGTAACAGTAAATAAAATAGTTCACATAGTTATCTCATGTGTAATAAATTGACAAACTAATAATAATAATAATAATAATAATAACAATAATAATTTATCTTTCCTCCTACACTGGTCACTACTGTATTTTGTCTATCAGTTTTTCTAAAATGTAGCACAATAAATCTATTGCACTCATACCTCAAAGATATTGCGATTTAGATTACAGACCACCATGATAAAGAAAGTATCGCAGCAAAGCAAGTCGTAATCGTTCTGCTGGTGGAGGGTCTTGTCTTCCATTTGTAAAAAACACAACACATGTGAAATTCAATAAAATAAGGTATTTCTGAACATTCATTTTATTTTAGTAGACTAAGCTGAGGTAAAAAAAAACCACTAGATCTTATTTATCTTTGCATCATAATACCTGAAACATAATGACTTTCACCAAATAAATCTATAAATTTAAATACCTTTTAAATATAACTAAAATCTTCTTATGCTGAAACGGGATGCAGTTTTTCAAATTTTGATGCCATCAAAACAAAGTCAAAGGTAAAACTCACCTGACTTTGCACTGGCTCATTCAGAAAGAATTGTAACCAAATAATCATAAGCAGATCATTAGTCTAAGTGTCTGTTTTCCTAAGTATAAAATTGGGT